TGATACCTGTGCCTCATATTGGGTCCAGTCTTTAAAAGCAGCAAAACGTTAGATATATCTTTCTCAGAGTTTTTACCAGGGAATTTCAAAAGAGGTCCCCAAATAGCAGGCTGATTTGTCAGCCTAGCTGGAAAACTCCCGATGCTCCACATACTTTAATTTCAGTGTTAACTGGACCATCAGTTACTGTGGCATCTCATCTAACTAGCCCTAACCAAAGGCAGGGATTACGATGGTGACCTTTAGGGTTTTTTTTGTCAGAACCTCGTTTTTGCAACTGTCTGAAGCACATAACCTTGCTAAATGCAAGCGCTTGAGAGACTGGAAAACAAATAGTTCAAAACAGCTTTTCTGACCTCACCTGCTTCTTCATCAGGGCTACTGAATGTGAAAGACAATACTTTCTGTCGTGCTTGTTGGTAGGTGATAGAGCACGAGTTGTCAAAGAGGCCTTGGAGGGAACATCTTTTCAAGACATTCGTAATTCCTCAGGGGAGCCCACACTGCAGCACTCTTCATCACTTTTCTAATTGAAAAGCATAAGCCACAAATGCTCTCTTGCTAGGATTAAAGACTGCAACAACAGGCAGCAAGTTAATGAGTTTTATTAAGGATCGTTTCTGAATGAGCTGGCAGTAGTTTGACATTGCTTAATGTTACTATGCTTAACGCAGTTTCACTAGTAGGGTATATTGCTCAGTGTTTTTCTTCCAGCCATATTTTAGTAATGTTGCCTTTGCATCCAGGGCTTTCGACTACATCTATTGTGATTGGAATAGTAGGTTATAAAGAAATTTACTATGTCAGTCATATAACTTTAAATCATACAGGATTTTATGCAGAAAAGCCTAACTGGCAATCTCTCAGTAATTTTCCATGAATTTAAACCAAGCCAGAGGCTAGACTTGTTTATCTGTTCATCGTAGCTAGAAAAACTACTTCTACTCCAAGCAATACATGCAAAAGAAAGTAATTTAAATACAACCAATCTGAAGTAACTATCCACCTTCTTACGGTTTGTATTGTGAAGACGAACAGACAACAGCCAAGAAATTAAATTCCATTTGTGATCTGTAGGATCTTGCAAGACAGTGTATTGTCTCAGTGTATTTTGTATTTTTTAGTTTCCTAAAACTAGGTAAAGATGATTGTACTGCTCTTCTACCTTGCACTACGTTTTGAATCTGTTGGCCAACAGCAATCAAAGCTTATAGAGGGCAGAGGATGTTTCATGAAAACAGGTGGCTAATAAAAAAAAAGATACCCTTTAACAACACCCTGATAGCCTTGAATACCTTGAATAAAAGGCTGATTCACATGTTAAATGTCAGACAATCTACACAGCAGATCAGAGGTAGGACAGAAATGCACAGACTTCATTAGTCTTTTTTCAGACCTCACTTCAAATTCACGCAATTCACTGCTGCAGGAAAGACTTAGTTTTTGAAAGCTGCCCAAACATGGATCGAAAATATTTCTTAAGATTGCTTAGTACCACACAGGATTCCACAAGAAATGTGAAATACCACTGCATGCATGTGATTGTTGACTAAATACTAGTGCTACCCAGATATCTTCATCAGATGATCATGGGTTTTAGAGAGCAGTTCACCTTTAAGGAAGCTAATAGTTAAAAAATTAAGACACCCAAGCATTTTCATATAATGAATTCCAAGACTGATTAAGCAATTAAATAATAATGCAGAAACAATCTCCTTCCTGTACGTCCACAAAAATGCTTTTCCCTTTCCACTTTTAAAAGCAGTGAAATGGACTCAGTCATAAAAGAACTTCAATATGTTTAGGAAGTGGCTGCAAGAATCAACTTTGCCTATTGTGTAAGGAAGGGTTCCGAAAGGTTAAATCATTCATCCAAGGAATGAAGGAAGGAGCCCAAACTGGACCCCCCACAGTGACTTTGTTTCTCAACAATACTCGTGTATCCTATCAAAACCAGATTAACAAGAGAAGTGTGGGGCAGGCAGTTGTGGCTCGCCAGTAGCACACACTTTCTTGGATTCTAAATAAGACATATCCATAACGAGAACACAAACAGTTTAATTTTGAAATCCTACCCATGACTTACTTCTCACTTTCCCAGAATAATCCTGCTCCGAGTGACACTGATTCAGGATACATGGCTATCAAATATTACCACCAGAAAAAACAACAGGATTAAGGTGGTAAGAGTAAGTGCCCTCAGGTCAGAACAAGTTCCCCCTGCAGTTATTCTCCTTCTCTTCCCCACTGATTCATGAAAACAAAGACAGTTGCTGTGATATATTAAAGTAAGTCTTACAGCCGAAGCCAGCTGAGCACCAGAGACAGAAGACAGCAGGATGTTTCAGGTGTTTTATTTATTTATTTCAGTGAGGACAGCTGGTATGAATATTACGGGCAACTTGTGCTTGTAAACATCTATTTCCCTGAAGTAGGCCCTGTCAAAGGTAAGCTTTCCTGCCTTCTTCCACTGCTCTCTGAAGGAAGGCATACAGTTCAGCCTCTCTGTAGCTGGATGTCTAGGTGACAGATTTGACTAGGCTTGGCGCATGCAAACATCTTGATTAATACACTGGCAGTAGAAATACTCCATAACAAAGAATGCGCATCTTCAAAACAAAAGCATGTATCTACCAAGAAAAAAAAAGCAAAGCTAACATTAAAAAATAAAGGCAGAAAATGTGACTAACCCTTAACTTCTTGATGATCTTTGGCACATTCTATGTAGCCCCTTTAAATCCATTTCTGGGTTTGGCATTAGACTGTCCTGCTTAGAGCCTGTTGCTTTTCCTGCATAAATTTATTCACTTTCACTGATACTCAATGCGTAACGCTGAATTAAACTTGCCCTGTTTCTGCCACTTTTTAGTGTGGAGTCTTGCAATAGATTAAAACTATTGATCTAAGTTTAACCTTTGGGAGAAAAAAAATACTCAAATTTAGCTAGAATGGAGCAACAAATAGCTATCCTATTATCTCCTAAAACTGCTACCTGGGTCATTATTTTGCTTAGTGTCCTTGCTTCCTTTAACACAGCTCTTTGATCCAACACCACAGTCAGCAATCTATCATAAACACAGATACTAATTCCTCATCCACAGTGGACAGGATTAGGGTATTTCCTAATTTTCTAGGCTTTGTAAATAAAACTGCTGTATGGACTATTACAACTGCTCTCTTGTACAAATGTCTTTCGTAGGATTAAAAGGTGGGCTAAAAGGCACAGGTGGAGACATACAAATACCAAAATAAGCTGGGTTTTTTTTTTTTTCTTGACAGAAAGAGTATCAGTACATGACAGAGATCGACACATGAAAGGCTGTTATGACTTCTTCAAAATTAAAGTAAGGTGGACTTTAGAACTTGGAGGAAAGGCAGTAGATGATCTGTTATTCAAAGCAAAACAAGTAAGCAGGGACAGATCTGTTCTAACAGCAGTACAAAAATATAGCAGCAAGTGGTGAGGGATTATGTTACAGGACAGACAGGCAGAAAACGTGAGGTGGTCTTGGGCTGCATTTTGTGAGCCCACAGAACACGGGTAGCACCATAGGCTGAGTTGAGGCACGTCTTCCAAGATGACTAAAATCACTGCCTTAAATCCTAAACAGCCAAAGTGTAGACCGAGCTATTATAACCACATCATCTATTACAACCCATTTTATGACTCTGCACATTAAAATGCATCACATTTGAAATCTGTTACACATTGTATGCGTCATTACATGCAGATGACAGAACCAGTTACAGAAGTAATTGAATGCAGAAGTCAATCCACTTTCAGAAATCAGTCTTACATAGCTATAGAAACTGTGTTATTAATTTCTTCTACATTGAGAAGCTGTTGCTTTGTTATATATTCACCTGTCTTGCTGTAGCAATGTTCTAATTTTAGTCAAGTAGTCTTCAAAAACATATTTGGGGCATTATCTCCAGCTGGAATTTAATTTTTAACTCAACAAATGAACAGTACAGACTTAGGCTTAATTCATTATAGGATGCTTTTTGAGCACTGTTTTTTCGTTCCACAATTAGACTAATGGTAGAAGAGTTTCCACCCAAAACACAAAATAACCTGCTTTTAAACAAAACTTCCAATACAGAAAGATGGGTTTTTTTTGCCAAGTATAACATCAGAACACTAAAATATACTAAAATTATATTCTCATTATATACCATGCTGGAGTAAAAGCATGCCAAAAATCCCTCAGTTTCTCAGTACTTGTAAGGCCCCTTGGATCTAGCCATTACAAAAACACACATTAATAATTTTGCTCACTGTTAGCCTAAGTTAATATTCATCTTAGTAGTGAAACTCTGATTTCATGTAAACAAATTATTCTGAGTTTCAGAATGTCAAACAAGCATGAAAAAGATTCAGGAAATAGCTACATAATTTGTTTTCTCTTTTTGAGAAATTATCTCTGCTTATACTTTAATACAGTTTTTCCTAAGAGTAAAACACACAGTTAGCAAGTGACGTGTTTACTTCTGAACTTACTTCTGATAAAACTGTTTACTCCAGAATTTGAAGCAGAGATGGTCAGTTTACTGCCTAAAGAACAGCAAATAAAAAGTGTCTTATTTTTCAAAGAAGTTGACTGTCTATTCCTGACTTCAAATTGAGCTGTGTATCCTTAAATATATTTGAAAATTATGACCATATTTATACAAATTTGTAACTACCAATTAACCTATTTGATTATAATCAGTACCAGACATTTTTACTACAAGTGAAAGTTATTTTCAGACTCTAAATAGACAGTGGAAATTCACTATTTCATTCTAAACAAGAAATATACACAGCAGCAACAACAGATATTTTCAAGTGATAAATACAATATGAAAGTCATTGCTTTAGAAAGTACTGATTCAGAAAAACCCAAATAATATTTTGATTTTATAAAAGCTCAGAATTTTCTCAAAAATTTAATGATTCATTTATGTCCAAAACCAGTATTACAATCACTTTCCAGGTACTAAGCTTTAATACCATCTTTCTATTTTTCTATGAAGAACTTGCTCTGAGATTTCCTGATTTTCTCCAGGTCTTCATAAGTGATTGGTCCTTTCGGCAATTCTAGCAAAGTGCTTTGTGTGTCCAGTATGTTCTCTGCTTCACCTTAAAAAAAATAAAGAAATTAAATAAATTTCCTCACCCTTACTGCAAGAAAGCAAAGGAAGTGACAACAACAAAAAATTAAGAAACTGATTTAGCTGTTGTTGGTTGTGCCAGAACAACAAAATACCAGGTCACAGCTATGTATTCTACAAACAAGCTGATGCCAATGTAGCATTACAGTTGTCTTTAAGGAATTTTGGACTGCTGGTATAACTGCACACAGAAGTGTTTGGTCTGAACTGAATACCTGCCTTAGGCTTTTCTTTGAAAGAACTTCAACCAAAACAATCAATTGTGCTGTTGTTGCTGTTTCTGTTAGCCCCTTTCTCCTAAAACTACACCGAGTTACAGTAATGTTTCGGTTGGAGATTTAGTATCCACGTGCTTTGGAATGGAGGCATGAGAAACGGCAAGGACTTAGCATCACCATGTACTTTGTACCAACTCCATGCTGTGTTTGGCCAATTAGGAGTCTGACAAGAAAGTGGATCAGAGGTACATATAAAAGTGTACATAAGCTTTAGCAAGTAAATTCCCCGTACACAGTATTCTAGACAGGCCATATTTGGGCACAATTTTTCTTCTTGTCTCAGGCGTAGGCTAAAGGATGCCAGGCTATGGGCAGCAAGTGGGTAGCACAGGACTTGAAAAAGTATTGGTCAAAGCGTACTGCTTACAGAAAGATTTGCTAAGCCAGTTACCTAAACATGCAGTCCTAACAGCACAGCAGGGAAAAGTTGTAGGGTGCAGAATGCTCCGGGTAAGGCTGGAATGAAAACATCTAGGACAGAGAATCCAAAAAACAAAGATACAGATTCAACATCATACATAAGCTGCGGTGGTCTGACTGCGATATAAGAAAGGATGAAGATTAGGCAAAGAATGTGTTTGCTTTGGCTGATGCCCTTTGGTACAATGCCAACAACCTTGTTTATCTATGCCTTAACTCCTAGCTTGATGATTGTTAGAGCAGTGATTTGAAGCTGCATTTATGTGCAAAAAACCTGACTGAATAATGCAGTCAAGATTGTGGTCATTCTTTAAAACAGGTCTTGAATGCTGAAATCCAGCTGCAGTTTTGGTAGTATTACCATGCTCGGGATTTCCACACATCAGTAATATGCAACAGGTCGACACTGGTCACCATTCCCAGTAACCAGTAAGAGCAAGAGATCTTGGGTGACAGAAAGATGTTGCAGTCAAACCTCTATGCCTGTCACTCACATCCGCTCGCTAGAGCAGATTGCCCCATCACCACCCTTCTCACACGGCTCAGGATCAAGCAGTGAGCTATCTAAATCTCAGCAAAGGTAGCCAGAATTTTCAATGCTTAGTGCAGAAGTTCTATGCATTTGGAGGCTGGCTATATAATCCCTCCCCTAATCATTTGTCTGAAAAACACCAGCAATATGTGCCTGGACCGGGAGGAAAAGCAGAACAGCAAGGCCAAGAACACAGATAGTGGCTGGTCCATGAATGATTCTTAGTGCCCTCAGCCATTCATAAAAGATAGTGGGCCTGAGGGCTGTTCTGTAACCCAAGAGATCCAGTTCTGATACAGGGCCCTGGCACACTGACGGCTTTTCAACAGCACAAGCAGAACTTCAAAACAGGTATTTCCCCTGGTGCCTTCAGTTTTCGCTTTAATTAGCCTAAACTGTAAAGCAGGAAAAAAAACGCCTCAAATTTCAATGTGGGAGTATAAGCAAGTCATGAGAAAATGTTTGGACAAGTAGGCTAGAGACAGAAGAAAAAATGAAGCAAGATCAGAGACAAAATGCCTAGTGAAAGAGAAGCAGAGAAACATTCCAGGGTTATAAATTGATTCCAAAGAATGAAAGACAGCAGGTGCAGGGCTATTTGATCAAGGTGGTTCAGATACAAGGAAGACTGTGCAGCACAGAAATAATTGAAGATTAGCTCAGGAGAGGGAACTGGCTGTGAGGCTGAAGATAGGCGTACCCTGGAGGAAAGAGACCAGTTAAAGAGGGAACAATAAAGGGAATGGTGTACGTGCTCATCATTACACCACAGAGGTGAAGCATGGCATGCACCATCAGAATACATGGGCAAGCAGAGAAGTGATTGAGAAAGTAGTACGGGAATGGACACTGGGATCAGCTGCATAATAAGAACAAGCACTGTGGCCGCAGGTCCATTGTGTCATAAAACCTTCTTGTCAACTACTTAATTTTAATCTTAAAATAGGAATGAACTCCTGAACCTGACTTCCACATAATTACGAACTTTCTTCTCATTTCCAGCCCAGATTCATTCAGCCTAGTCCACTTCCTTTTATTCTAGTGCTGACATTAGTAATTAATTAAATTTCTTCCTTTTCTTTATCCTATCCTGTAAGTAGGACCTGTAGACCCAAATCTCTCATGTCTTTTTACAAAGAATAATGAAGTTCAGCAAGTCCAAGTGCAAGGTCCTGCACCTGAGTCAGGGCAATCCCAAGCACAGATACAGGGTGGGGGACGAGTGGATGGAGAGCAGCCCTGCAGGGAAGGACTTGGGGATGCTGGTGGATGAAAGGATGAACATGACCCAGCAATGTGTGCTCACAGCACAGAAAGCCAACAGCATTCTGGACTGCATCAAGAGAAGTGTGGCCAGCAGCAGAGGGTGGTGATTCTCTCCCTCTACTGTGCTCTGGTGAGACCCCACCTGCAGTGCTGTGCCAGCACAGGGGCCCCCAGCGTAAGAAAAACATGGACCTGATCCAGCAGGTCCAGAGGAGGGTCACAAAGATGATCAGGGGGCTGCAGCACCTCCCCTGTGAGGACAGGCTGAGAGAGTTGGGGTTGTTCAGCCTGGAGAAAAGAAGGCTCTGGGGAGACCTTACAGCCTTTCAGTACCTCAAGGGGGCCTTCAGGAAAGGTGGGGAGGGACCCTTGATCAGGGAGTGCAGTGATAGGACGAGGGGTAATGGTTTCAAACTGAAAGAGGGGAGATTTAGATTAGATATTGGGAAGAAATTCTTTCCTGTGAGGGTGGAGAGGCACTGGCACAGGTTGCCCAGAGAAGCTGTGGCTGCCCCCTCCCTGGCAGTGTTCAAGGCCAGGCTGGATGGGGCTTTGAGCAACCTGGTCTGGTGGAAGGTGTCCCTACCCATGGCAGGGGGGGTTGGAACTAGGGGATCTCTAAGGTCCCTTCCAACCCAAACCACTCTGATTCTCTTATTCTACGAAAAGAGAAACAGTTTCCTAGAAAAGGAGTTAGTTTGGCATATTTAATTTTATTGTCCATTTGGCTCCATAGCTTCTTTTCTCGAAAACCTCTTCACAAGCCTTGCATACTGCTGAAGTTGCCCTAGTGGATCTGAAGTTATGAAGATAACTTTTCCTGTTTGGAAAGCAATAGGATACTGCACTGCCCCTCTTTAACCTGTACAGGACCACATGGTCCACAATATGTACTCTTGCCATGGGGATTGCATTATGATATGCTCACTCTTTAAAAATTCTGGAATGAAAATGACCTCATTAAAAAAAAAATTATTAACAAATACTAAATTCCAAGTGTTCCTTCTGCATTGTATGTACTAATCTCCTTCTCAACACTCTGATTTCCAAAAGCCATCCAGTTTTTCTCCCTGTGCTTAGCTGCCTCTTCATATTAAAAAAGGAATGTATTTAATGGGGTTTAGGAAAAGTTTTCAGATACACATTGCTGCATCACTTACCTATATTTGCACTGTATGTGGCATGAAATATCACACAAGTTTGTCTAATTAATCGATCATTATTTTCAATGAAGTACACAGAGTTACGAAACCGTAACTCTTAGATCTGGAGGCTAAGACCAAGAGCTGAAACAAATTTTTATTTTATTTCATTATGTGTGTGTCAGGAGCAGACAGGAAAATCAAGCTAGTTAACTAAGATGATTGGTGAAGGTGACAAGCCACAGCCCAATGCTGTCTTCACATACAGTGAACACTCTCTAAGCATGTCTCCTTCACTAGGAGTCAGAGCTAACACAAACACACCTCCGTAATCCTCAACACACATCACTTAATCAGATCCACCACTGGCAACTATGAGGCAGGACCCCACTTCCTGGGACCCACCTTTCTTTTTTCCATCTTAGGAAGGCACTGCGGCAAGATCATCAGCTGATGACAGTGTTTGGTCAGGAAGGTATAAGGGCATGATTCCTGTCTGTATCCCTTTATCTGCTCTTATCATCCCTACCCCTTGCCAAAACAGCAGCATTGGAGTGGAATACGGAAGGAAATCACTAGATCTGTCATTTCTCCCAAATATTCAATGTTTACTTCAGCTATATGTATAGCCTTAGAATTCACATTTTTTCAAACAAGAAAGGAGAAATTAAGGAACAGTCTTAACTGGAGGGAAAGGCTGTAAAAGTAGAGTGAGTACTCTTGACCGGGAAAGTATCTGATTGTAACAGAGAAGAAAAGAAATTAAATAGTAAGATTTTGGAAAAAAAAACAAAACAAACACGTGAAAATCTATGGCAAGTTTTCTCCCAGCCGTTCTAAAAAGATAAGAGGTTATCTGATATATTAAGCTCGTGTCTATGTGTGAACTAGACATGCTTACTAGACTTACATACACATACCTTTTATCCTTTGCAATAGTGTCCCATAGCCCATATCATACTGATAGGCAAATATAAAGCTTAAGGGAACTATTGGCAGTAAAACTCCTGGGTTCTTCTTTTTTATTGCTCTGTGTAGAAAAAAAAACAAAAACAAAAAACAAAGAAGGAGGGAAAAAAAGATTATTTAGGACATTCAGCAGATCAGCACTGTTAGTTTAGGCTGACCTTGACTGTCTAGGACTTGTGTATCCTTCTACATTCTCTAATGAAAGAAGAACAACTCTCCGTTTCCTCAGAAGCGTTCATCTTCTGGTTGTCTTCTTACTCAACCCAAGGGTATTACAAATAATGCTTCAACTGAGTTTTGAACAAATCTAAGAAAAATGGCATTATCTGACCTGTGTAGCATGTATGTGCACATGCATATATGCATCCAACCACATGCAACATACATCAAGATAATTATGTTCAGTACCAAATACAGCTGAGCCTGCATAACACATAAAGTCTACTTAATCTGTACTATGTACACAAAACCATAAATATTCCCTACATTCCCTCTAATCATGTTATAGCACCAGAAAAACATGTTACTAAGCAAAAGTCCTATAAGGCAAGTTCTTTCCCATGCAATACAGATTTATTAGCCAGGTTTTTCCCCTTGGGTGAGTTTCTTGACACAAATTTTAAGTGAACAGATTTCAGAATATGTCCACTTGTTCACCGACATATTAAAAACCCCAGATGATGGAGGATTTGTTGCTCATTAATAGTTCATTAAATCACAATACAGACAAGAAAATAGCATGGCTTTTAAACAATCCCTCCTGTTCCACACACAACTCTTATTTTACACTGAACTTTTGGTATTTCAGCTGTATCATTTTATTGTCAGCTCACATGTCTCTGCTTTTACGTAAGTCTGCATTACAGACTTAACCAAAATACATCTGGAAGCAGACAGAAGTCAGAGTCAGTTTGTCATTTGATCACGTTCTGAGCAGTTACTGGATAAAAATAACTGCTGTTATAACACAAAAGCAATATCCAGCAATATAGAAATATTAATGTAATATATTTACATTTTCTTTTAGGAAATGAACTTCTTACCCAGCTGTTAAACCTACAGCAGCAAGTCCAAAAAATGTTCCAAAATATCTGAGAAACTCCCGTGTCCAAGCAATCTGCATGGCTGTTTGTCTCTCTCTCATCTGGTTCTGCATCAGTAGTTGTCTTTCCAGCTACAGAAGGGAGAGAGGTTAAACAAAATTAAGTCATCCATTTATTTTAAAGGCTGAGTCAATCTCTCATTTGTTTATAAATCCAAAACACTAAACTAAGGTTTCTTTTTTGTTCTTTTACTTCAGTCATTCATAGCTTTTGATTGATAATGGTCTTCTTCAGTAATAACTCAGAATAGTTTATACCAAGAAAGCATTTAGGTCAATTAGCAAATGCTTTAATGTAGAATCTTTCTAATGCTGCTTCTCAAGATCAAGACAACTAAAATACCAGTGTTGGGTTTTGAGAGCTCCCCAAGTCTCAGCAGCAGTCCCTAGGTTAAGGTTCTCTGACCTCTGCATTTCCACGGTGATCCAAAGGGCACCATCTAGCTGCCTTTCAACTTATTCTGCTTCATTTTAATTTAGCTGTTAAAACCCTTAGAGTCAACCTTGACACCACTTTTGAGGATTTATCTTTATCATGCATCGCAAAGCTAACAGCTCTTTTGAAATACCATAGTTAACAAATACAGAAAAAAATGCCATGAAGATATCAGATCTTTTAAAGATACTGGAATACATATCAAAAGTCCATGAGAAAATACTTATGTAACTAAAATAAAAAACAGTAAGGCAAAAAGTACAATCTAGACTGTATATTCACGCAAAGTAGAACTCTCTAGTTTCTTTTCTTTTTTTTTTTCTAAAAAATTATTTTTCTATTATTTTTTCTATTTATTTTTCTTTTTTTTTTTTTACTATTTTATTTTTCTATAATCATAATCTTTTTTTTTTTTTTTTTTTTTTAAATTAAGTGCCCCATCTAAACATACTGGTACATTTCCATTAAATGAAGGCAAATAAAAAGAAAGTATTTCTAAAAAGTTCCTTTCTACTGTACAAAACACCAAAAAGGACAATGTCTTTCCTCCTTAGAGTGATGCAACAAATAAGAATTGTGCCAAAAATAAGCAGCCTGAAACAGACCACAGAAGTTAGTTAACACAGTAAGAAGTCTGCTTCTTCCCATTAATGTTTGTAACTGATTTTTTGGTAAAAAAAACCCCAACAGAATACCTGAGTTGGTCTGCCTAGTCTAGCTAATCAAGTTGCATAAAAAGTCCAACAAGGTACAGGGAACAGAATATCAGCTGCCTAAAAAAGTGTATTCTAGAAAAGAAAGAACAAAGACTGAATTCAGAAAGTTCTCTTCTCATACATCTATAAAGTAATTAGATCTGTTCTTTTCTCCTGCTTTCTAATTCAAGAATAATTTAAAGGATTTGTAATTACTTAAGGTTTCCACCCATTTATTCATCTCCATTGCTATTGATTTAGCCTGAACAGAACAATTTCTGTTAAATTGTTACTAATTATTTCTTCAGACTATGTTGATCTTGCTATCTTATTTACAAGCTCATTCAGTACCTAGATAGGTAGAATTAATTTTTTAGACAGCATAATAAAAAAAGGACAGGACAGATCTAATTAGATATAATTATACACAGTAGGAAAAACAACATTGTGAGAATACTGTTTCATCTGTTTCTCTTTCCTCAAGACTTACATTGCAATTGTTCTTACAAAAAATATCAACAGCCTTTACCTTCCTGATATCCATAATTTTCGGATCGCTTTTATAGAAGAAGTAATTATATAACGGCTGGCAAACCACTTAATAAAATATCAAAATAATTAGATTTTATTTTGTTACCTATGAGACACTTGGAAATTCTAAAGTAAACAAGCACAGTGCCCATTAATTAGCCCCATTGTGGTTCCCAATATTCTAAGCCTGGTAAATTGCTGAGGGTTGACGTGACAAGATAAAATAACGACATGTAATATCAATTTAATGACCTCTATTTTCCCATTTGATTTGATTATGTGTGTGGTTTGCACATGTGTGAAAAGTATTAAGGGATCCTTTGTTTGTCTGTCAGCACAGATAAGGAGACTACGCTTCCAAGATGCACAGTATTACCTCAAATGAGCTTCAATTTTAAAAAGTACATAGGGAGGAAGTGGAACAAGGATATGCTGATGAAATATAGGACTTGCTAAAAAGGAAAGTTAATGGAGAAGAAGAAAAACAGTTTAATATGCGCAGAGCACAGAAAAAAGTAAGCATGGAATAAAGAGAAAGCTCTAAGTTTAAATCTACAAGAGTAAACTAAAGGATCGTAACACAATTTCTTTAAAAACAAACAAGCAAAAAAAAAAAAAGAAAAAACCAAACAAAACCCCTCCCCAAGTTATACTTTGATGGCTGTTTAAAACCCAAGTACTAAAAGAAAAAAATATTACTAAGTCACAGACACAAAGGTCAAACAAACACCTTTCTGTAGGAGGCCGTCATACCAAATTTCAGAAGCCCAATGATGCTTTAATGTCTATCTACAAGTAATTCATATAAATAACTTAGTATAAAAGAAAACGACTTGTTTTGTATATTATCAACAACAGCCAGATAAGATAATCAAACAATTATTTTCTAATCATGCTTTAACATGTCCAGACCTGACACCTGATCCGCTAAATATGTTTATGAGCTATGTTGGACACTAAAACAGTATATGCATTTGAATGAATTTTGGATGCTCTAAGTTGCAAAATTAAGCACCTACATGGGCATTCAAGCAACTCCCATGTACCTCAACCATTCAAAATGTCAAAAAAATTCAGGGGCAAATTTCTTGTGCTTACCCATTTAACATGCCACTCTGAACCGAACACTTTGAGCTCTGCCAGTTTTGAATAACCAGAATACCCTGATAGTGCTGACTTTACCCTGGCAAACAACTATTGATAGATCATAAGGCGAAACTATTACAATAAGATTACATTAACCTTAAGCAAGTCAGGATTTGAAAGCAGATGTATATAGGAAAAGACATAGGAGTCCATCACAAAAGATGATTCCAAATTAGATGAAAGATAGAAAACCAAATCATGTTTGACTGCAGTTCGAATCAATATCCCATTTTCAGCTGTTAATTTCCTAGTAATTGTGTCTTATTTTCCTCCACATGTGTTCTATCGAAAATGCCAGCCACACTGGGGTAGTGAAAGGGCGGAGAAGACTTTTGACCTATAACACGCAGATTTTACAACAAAGGCCAAGTTCTACTCCCTTAGGACTTATTTTGCAATGACATTTAAGAATACTTCTTTTCCCATTATGGCAGATTAGAAGCAAGAATTAAGAACAGCAGGTATTAATTTTACTGCAAACCATAACCTCACATATAGAACTTGACAGGTGATAAGATAAAAAACAGTGTATCATTCAAATTCAGCAGAGGTGTGCTATAGCTTATCGAGAATAATCTCACTGATGGGAGAAGGCGATTATTGAGGAAACAAGCCACAGGTGTACATCATACACATCAGGTGAACAACAGTTCACCATCCAAGTGCCATGTCTTAGGGAATAAATTCTATTTCATTTTAAATACATACGCCTCCCATCTATATACCCATAAAAACTTCAACAGGGACAGACTATTTACATGACTCTGCTTGCGTAAAAACTATGGGTAAAGGGTCTCAGGTGCAGATTTACCATAGGAGGAAGGGAGATGCTGCAGTTTTCCCAGCCAGGTTGCTGTGCGTGGCACAAGAGAGCTGAAGCTGTGATGTGGATGCATGGGAGCATATCCAGGCATGCTTCTCTATTACTGTTAAGAAATTGCATCCTACAATAACCAGACCATGTTTCAGAAACCCATCTACAAGTACAGTTAATATCACAATCTAAAACAAACACCCTATATAAATTTCTGTGAGTTTAATTCTACAATGAACAGATTTTCTTAAATGACAGTAGTAACTTCTTTACTGGTAATAAATACCAACCATGGAATTTTAAAATTTATATTTAAAAATAAAATGTGTACGAGCAGCAAGTAACATTTTATATTTTATAACACTCTCAGGAGGACCCAATTAGAAATAATTTTCCCATTTTTCTTTAAATACAGCTAGTAGTGTCACAACACCATGTAAGAAACTGTAAGGGCTGATTAGCATTTGAAGACTGCCACATACCAACTGTTATAGTAAAAGGAAATCAATCTGACAAAATGAAACATGACAGATGAAGAGAAGTGAGGCGGAGAGGGAAAAGGTCAGCTACTGTGAAACTGATAATGCTAATAAACTAGTCAGTGGTAACCATCCTTATCATTTCTATTGATTATTCTTCAGACTGTCACAATGATGTCAAACCACAGAAAAGAGCATTTATACCATCATTTCATTGATTAAAATCCAGTGGGAGGAAATTCTCATCTGAAATAATTTAATCAACTTTGACAACCTGCAAAAAAATAAACAGTCCTCTCTGGATTGCAAACCGCATCAGCACCGGCACATAGACTGGAAATTTCTGATACTTCAGACTCTTAGTTTCTTTCTTTCTTTCTGCCTTTCAGTTTCACGTTCAGATGCTGTAGAAAGGAACAGATACTACTTTGGTTTTCTATTAAGGTGAGGCACAAAGCAAAACAAATGGGATGCAAGGTGCTGTACAAAGGCTCAAGAGAAATGGAAAGCAGAGCCAGTGCAAAATGATCTCTCTTCACTGACCATGTGTATTAAATATGATTTCTTTGATGTGTATCATGCAGGTCAAGATCTATCTGAGGAGAGGAAGACATAGTAACCACTCCTGGGTACGGCCTCTGTTTGCAACCGGATACATTTAGTGGCTCTCCTGGCAGATAGACTTTTCCCCAATGCCTCTAAAATAGTGGGCAGTATAAACACTTGGCTTGAGAGTGGTTGTGGCAGTAAACCTATTCAGGGTACTGTATTTCATGTCACCATCACTAAGATATAATTATGCTGACAGCCTGCTAAACAGATACTCAGTCAGAAAAGGAATTAATCTATCTTAGAAGGAATTATCAGCCAGATAAAAAACCACACCATCTCTGCTTAAGTTCTGACACTCACTATCTAAACCTAAGAGAAACATGAAGAAACTGTTGGAATATCCTTATACTCATTTTAAAGAGCCTCCAGTTTTGTCACAGGCTAATCTCTCGCACATATGTTATAGGCCACGGCTACTGTGCCTGTAATAGAAGGTTATTTTCACTTACAGTTTTTCAATGATCAGAGATTCTGAGTGTTCTTTAAACAACCAGTAACTTCTGAGTACTCAGAGGCACAGTGAAAGTAAGGCTTAATTTTTCAAAACCATGACAGTTATACACACAAAAATCTGCAAATTACTTACAAAACACATACAAAAGTTGGTGTGCAGGAAGTAGAGCTAAGTAAGTGCAGAAACCCCTTGCAGTAGCAATGCACCTGGCATTCCATAAGTAGATGAAAGATTAAGGACTTATGTCGTCCAAAGTGTCACCCTTCCTAATCAATGTGCAAAACCAGAAGCTACTGCAAATGGTTGTTTAGCAAAAATAAATGGAAAATAGAATAGTGATATCTATGTTCACACCTCCACTGTAAGCCACCAGA